GAAACGGTTGAAATCCCTGCTAGGAGGAACCAGATAGGATACATTCAACCCCTTGCCACCTTCGGGGTCGTGGTTTCTGGAGATAAAGTAGTGAGAAGTTAAGCTGCCTTAACTTTGTGTACGTAAGGCTGCTCTTAAAGACCTGGGAACAGGATAGAGTGGAGAATGCAAGGCAGCTTCTCTGGAAGTGCTTGAAGAATCTTGGTGGTCCATCCCAGTTTCTTAGGCTCTGTCGAGTTCTGCAGTTTTCTCCTCCCACGTTACATCCCATGCCTGGAGAAAAGAGGCTTTTTGGGTTGCAGCTCTCAGGAGGTGGCAGGCAGCATGGCCACTAACTAGGCCACTTCAGGCTGTGAGCATGCATTGCGTAATACATCTACAGTATTTTGAGATGCAATAATACTCTTGTAGTGCTTGGTTTTCAGTGAATCAGAGCTTTGAACACTTAATTGATTGGACCACAACTCCAAGAATCCCTCCAACAGGCGTGGCCAGTGGTTGGAATGGGTGGATTTTGTAATTTGTAGCCCCAAGGCCTTACCTTTTGCAGACGCTGAGACAAGGACCGTGCCTCTCTGCCCCAGAAGGTGGCTTTCTGTAAAACCAACAGGGATCGTCCCTTGCTTGACCAGCGCTTCAGGAAAGCAGTTCACCTCTCGACCTCTGATGAAGGCTTCCAGGAGACTCAGAGCTTGGAAAACTTCCTCATTTTTTGCACTGCAGTTCCCAAAATCTCTTGACATTGTTGGTTGGGAGGTGGAGGTGGGAACCTGGGAGCGATTGTCCAAAAATGTGACTTTTCCAAGCTCTGCCAGGACTGCTGTGAGGGTGGGGGGCATGGAGGAAGGGAATCCCACATCTGCCATTTGGTCTTTTTTGTTGGCATCTTTAAAGGAGAGAATCGATCTGCAGAAAAATTGGTAGTTGAAGGTACAGTATTGAAGGCACGAGGCCAAACTTGCTTGCTTGCTTGCTTGCTTGTTGCTGCAACTGTTTCAAAAGTTGGCAGCTTTTCCTTTGTTGTGATGAGCTAAAGACTCCATCCCAGAAAGCCTGTCTAAGCCTTCCTGTATTTCCAAGACCTTTCCATCCCCAGCACCTGTTGATCACTGAGACTTTTGTATTCCCTCCCTCAGGTTTCTCAAGCACTTGTTTCGTAGATGTCATGCACACTTTCCTCTAAGATTTTTGCACAAAACAATTCTAAGTGGAATAAAAACCTTCTTTAAGCATCTGCAGGCTTGTAGGTTTCAGTGATCAGTGACTCTTTTGCTTGCTTTTTTATTTTATTTTATTTTCTTGCTTTGGAGAATGGAGAATCAGGAGCCTTTTTTTACCCATATTACCTGATCAGTTGTTTGATTTAAGCATTCTCTCTCTCTCTCTCTCTCTCTCTCTCTTCTCT